AATGACGAGACGCGAGAGACGACCGAACTGAACAATCTCGCGACGCGCGGCGACGCGCGCGGCGCTCGGCGAGAGGGAGAAACCGACCGTACGGGACGAAAATTTCCGACGGCGCGCGCCCGCGAATAAACCTCGCGAAGGAGGGCTCGTACACGTACAGTACAGGAAGCTGATTGGCGTAGAAGAGGAAGCTCGAATGGTACGGCAACATCCCCGAGGGCCGTGGCTTCCACTTCGTGCCCATGGCCATCGACACCTACGGCTTCAAGGCGCCGCGCTTCCGCAAGTTCCTTAACCATCTCGCCGATCACGGTGCGAGCCGTACTGTCCCCGCCGGCGACACCGCCTCCGATGCCGCGGCCGAGGCCACGCTCTCCGCCATCGCGAGGAGCAAAAGCTACTGGAAACGACGCATCATGGGCCAAATCTCCGTCGCGCTCGTATCCGACATCGGGAATCGCGTCGCTGGCGCGCCCATCTCGTACGCGCTCAGAACCGCACGTGACTCTGAAAACTTCCACGCGTGCGCGGCAGCGCAAATCCTCTTCATGGAGCCCGACACAGCTTGCGATTTCCACGTCGCCCCGGCTCGTCCGTGTGCTCGTGAGGCTCACACGGGTCTCAGGAATCCCATCGTGGGGTTGCTTACTGCGTGAGAGGATTGCCCGTAGTATAGTCTGCTCGCACTAGTAGGTCACATGTTTAGCCCGGATGGGTTAGAGCTCAGTCCGTGTACAGTACACAGCTGACAGCTGATTGGTCGACGTGCTGTTTGTGTGGCGGCAAAATGTTGTGGTCGAGAGGTTAAAATTGACTATTGTCGAACGCGCAAGGGACGCCGCGCGCATTCGCTCGTGCGCCGAACGATCCGCGCCTACGCGCGTCGCGCGCCCGCGCCCGCCCTCCTCCGCGTTCATCGCACGAGGGCGAAGAGATCCTCGCTCTCGCCGCCATCGCGCCTCGCGCCTGAGGTAATCGTCGCGACGAGCGCCGAGTCGATTGCAGGTCGGACATCCGTCCGAACACCTCGATTCGGGCCGAGCGATACTCGTTTTCGCGCCGGGGACGCGCTCGCGAGACATATCAAGCGGCGAGCGATCCGTCGCATCAGCCCGACCGCTCGCGATGCTGGCGATTTGTGAAGGAAAAGACAACGCGGTCGCCCTGGCCGAGCGGTATGAAGTGAGACAGGCGTCTCAAGGCAGCATCCTCGCGTATGCGTTTGTCCCCGGCGCCCCACGCACCGCGTCAAGAAGATACCGTTTGTTTTTGACCTTGTTTCTGACGTTGATTGCGATCGCGCCCACGAATGCCTCTTTGACCTGGACAAAATTGGCATTGGATCACCTCCTCGAGCGATGGCACCAAACTCGCCGCGGTTGAATACGTCGGAAACATCTGGACTTCCAATGATTCTGGAGCAACCTGGACCGAGCGCGAGCCTGCCGGTGTGGGAGTTACGAAAACTTGGTATGGCATCACCTCCTCGAGCGATGGCACCAAGCTCGCCGCGACTGTCGACGGCGGAAACATCTGGACCTCCACTGATTCTGGAGCGACGTGGACCTCCCGGGCATCTTCAAAAAGTTGGTATGGCATCACCTCCTCGAGCGATGGCACCAAGCTCGCCGCGGTTGTCTGGGGCGGAAACATCTGGACCTCCACCGATTCTGGAGCAAACTGGATCTCCCGGGCATCTAGAACAGACTGGCGTGCCATCACCTCCTCGAGCGATGGCACCAAGCTCGCCGCGACTCAGTGGAACGGAAACATCTGGACCTCCACTGATTATGGAGTAACATGGACCTCCCGGGCATCTTCACAAAAATGGTATGGTCGCCTCGCCTCCTCGAGCGATGGCACCAAGCTCGCCGCGACTGTCAGCGGCGGAAACATCTGGACCTCCACTGATTATGGAGTAACATGGACCGAGGACACGTCCGTGGGAGACACGAAAGACTGGCGTGGCATCACCTCCTCGAGCGATGGCACCAAGCTCGCCGTTGTTGTCGAAGGCGGAAACATATGGACCTCCACCGATTCTGGAGCGACATGGACCGAGGACACGTCCGTGGGAGACACGAAAGCCTGGCATGACATCACCTCCTCGAGCGATGGCACCAAGCTCGCCGCGGTCGTCCATCGCGGAAACATATGGACCTCCACCGATTCTGGATCGGGATCGGCTTCACCGGCTTCATCGGGATCGCCACCTCCCGCTGAAGAAGATGGGAAAACGTACCCGTGCGACGCCGACGGCTGGTGCAACCGCGATTGGGTCGCGCTCGTTCTCCTCGGCGTCGCGCTCATCTTCTGCGTCGCCGGGAAACGCCTCCACCGCCTCAACGTCTTCATTCTCGCGGCCGCCATCGGCTCCTTCGCCGGCCTCTGGATCGCGGACACGTTCAACGTGGACGACTTCAACACGCGTTGGGGCATCTGCATCGGCCTCGCGGTCGCCATCTCGCTGATGGTGTACATGATCGAGTCCCTCGTCTTCTCCCTCCTCGGCGTCGCGACGTGCGCCGGCGGCGCGATGGTCGTCTACTCCGCCCTCGCGGAGCACCTCCCGAGCTCCACGCCGGCGTACACCTTCCACCTCGTGATCGGCGTCGCCGCGGCTGTCGGCTTCCTCCTGGGCGGCGTATTGAAGAAGGCCGCTCTGACCGTCATCTACAGGCGCGTTGACCGCTTCCCGCGCGACCCCGCGCGCGCGTCGCCCGTCGTTTCTTAAGGACTTCTTTCTTTCGCGCGGTATCAACATCGCGTTTTGACACGTGCAACGTGACCCGCCAATCAAAAATACGCATCGCTGACGCGCGTTCGTTCGCCCCCGACCGATCGAATCGAATCGAATCGAATCGAATCCAACAGCGCCGTCGGCGGGTTCCTCGTCGCGTCCGTCTCGTCCTATTTCCTCTGGAAGAAGGACGAGGGCGAGGGCGACCTGTGGGTCGAGCACCTGACGTCGTCCGCGAAGACCATCGACCTCGGCGAGTGGCAAGTGTGGCTCTCTCTCTCTCTCGGCGGCATCGCGTGCCTCGCGGGCATCGCGATCCAAGGGCACCTCTGCGGCGGTCACAAGGGCGAGCACGGCTCCGCGGACGAGAAGACGCCGCTTCGGAGGAAGTAAGCGTGCTTGAAACGCTTCAAATCTGTGCGTTTTTTTGTCGTGTCGTGTCGCCCGCCGCGAGCGTAATCTTATCTGCGAGTACAAAAAATGTTCATCGGTCCGTTGAAAGGGGGCGCGATCAAATGTTGAAACCGAGGGTGGGTGAAAAACGTACGTTTCAACCAGAGAGCACCCGAACGGCGTCGCCGCGCGTCCTTCGGAAAACCCAGGGGTTCGGGCGGCCATCCCCCCCGCGCGCGATGCACGCCGTCGTCGCCCCCGCGCCGACGCCGCCCCGCGCGGCGGCGCCGCTCCGCCGCCGCGCGACTCGCCGCGCGCCCGCCGCCTCCCCCCCCGCGCGCCTCGCCGTCGTCGTCCGCGCCGAGGCCGCGAAGGACGCCGCGAAGGACGCCGTCACGATCACGCGCGCGTGGCACTGCCCTCCGCCGGACGCACCGCGCGAGACGAAGCAAGCGGCGAGCACGCTGTCGAAGCTCCCGCCGCACGTCTTGGACGCGGGCGGGCTGGACCCGTCGACGCAGTCGCCGCAGAATCAGACCGCGTACCTGGGGTCGCTCGCGGAGCGCTTCCTGCCCGTCGATCTTGGGCGCGACGGCGTGCGCGTGCTGTGCGTCGATCCGCCCATCTTCGCGGTCGCGAACTTCGTCCCGGCGTCGACGTGCGACGCGCTCGCGAAGCTGACGAAGGGCGCGAAGGCGTTCGGCGGCGGCGTCGCGAACGCGAAGCGCGTCCAAGAGCTGGCCGCGGCGCTGCCCGCGCCGATCGCGGACGGCATGCCCGCGCTCGTGCAGGTGTTGAGCGAGCTGACGGATGACGCCAGAGATCTGGTGCTTCCCCTGACCACTCTCCCCGCGCGACCGCGTCGGCGCGGCGCACGCCGTTCCTCGAGGACTTTCGCCGCGCGCGTCTCTCTCCGCCCACTCCACGCACGGTTTCAAACCCGACACGTCTCGACGCCTCACGACTCCGCCTGACGACGCCTTTGAAGGTGTCTCTCCGCCCAACCCCCCGCTTTCAATCCCCGCCATCGACGCCTTTCAACGCCAACTGACGCCTTTGAACTTCACCCCGACGTCGGTCGCCTCGCGCGGTCCGACCCCCCGCCGTCGTCAGATTCGATGCGACGGCGCGTGGCTCGAGGGCGCCGCCGCGACGCGATGGGCGGACGGCGGGTTCTCCGCGCCGCCGCCGGAGGGCGCGTTCGCGTTCGAGATGCCCGCGCTGTGCGTCGTGAGCAAAGGGAAGGAGACCGCGGAGCTGCCGGACGCGTTCGAGGTGCGTTCTGTACACTGTGTCCCCATACGACCGCGTCGGCGTGGTGAACGCCGTTCCTTAAGGACTTTGCCCGTCGCATCTCTCCGCCCAGGGTCCCTCGCTTTCAATCCCCGCCCTCGACACCTTTCAACGCCAACTGACGCCTTTCAACTCCACCCCGACGTTCGCGTGTATAGAATGACGTCGCCAACGAGTATAGGTACCAGCGCCGCGCGCTCGCGCGCGTGTTTCTTACGGACCCGCCGGACGCGGCCGAGGGTGCCGAGGGTGCCGAGGGTGCCGACGTGGACAGGGACGCGTACGGGCTCAAGTTCGTCGTCGCCGACATCGGGGTCGCGCCGGCGAAGGGCACCGCGATCGTCACGTTCCCGTCGTTCGCCGACGGCGCCGTCGACGAGCGCGCGGCGGCGAAGATCAAGTCGCGCTCGGAGACTAAGGCGCGTCCCGTACACTGGTCCCCATACGACCGCGTTGGCGTGTTGAACGCCGTTCCTTAAGGACTTTCGCCGGACCCCTCGCTCACAATCCCGACACACCTCGACGCCCTCCAACTCCGCTTCTGACGCCCATGAACTCCACCCCGACGTCGCTTCGTATGGAACGACCCCAAGCCGACGAAGTGGCTCGACCTGTACCTCAGCGTCGGGCTGGGCGAGGGCGGGATCAAGCCGCCGGTGACGATGGCGGACGTGACCGTCGAGGGCACGGTGGAGAAGATCGGCGAGGAGGGCAACGTCGGCGCGAGCGCGAGAGAGTTGAACCGGCAGGCGTGGCGCGCGAACGTGTCGTCGGGCGACGACGTCGGCGGCGACGTCGGGGGGGCGACGGATGAGGCGAAGAAGAAGCTCGAGGAGCTCGAGGAGGGGATGGCGGGCGAAAGTAAAAGTCCTTAAGGAACGGCGTTCAACGCGCCGACGCGGTCGTACGGGGACCGGTATGGAGCTCGAGGAGGGGATGGCGGGCGTCGAGGAGGGGATGGCGGGCGTCGAGGAGAAGTGATGCGATGGCGATCGATCGACGAGGGGCGAGCGGGGGAGGCGCGGATCGAGGAGCGCGGAGACGCGTCGCGCGCGTCGGAGACCCGCGCGGACGGGTACGCGCCGCGAATGGAACCGCGACGACACCGAAAACCGAGAACCGAGAACAAAAAAACCAAAAAACCAAAACCAAAAACGTTTGACCGCGTCTTGATCGGCAGAGATCGTTCCTTGCCGATGAAACCAGGCCGTCGATCGGCGCACGCGCTCGATCGAAACCGACCGAACGCGCGTTGAAAGGCGTGATCACCCGCGGCCGTCTCCTCCAATGGCAGCGTCGCACGCGGAAGTCCTCGCACGAAACCGTATCTGAATGGGTGGCGCGCGATCATATTCGCACCCGCCTCGACGCACGCACCGCCGAACAACACACAGTCATCATGTCTGCCATCGCCGCCGCCGGGCTCATCCCGCTCAAGGCCGCCCCCGTGCGCCGCTCCGCGAAGGCGACGTCCTCCAAGGTGCGCGCTCGCGACGTCCGTCCGCGATCAAACGCCCCGTCGCCCTCGACGGTTCTCTCGCCCGGCGCTCGTCGTCGTCGCTCGGCGCGGATCGCGTCCGCGGGGCGACGCCGGGAAGACGCGCGCGCGGCGTCGCATCGCGCGCTCGCGCGTCGCGGCATCGCGCGACGCGTCCCGAACGCCGTCGAGAACGCGCCGACGCGATCGCGCGGCGTCGAGAGCGGTCGCGCGGCGACGACGCGCGGCGGTTCCGACCCGGCGTCGCGTCGAGCTTAGGTCTTCCTCCTCCTCCGGGACCGCGAGGGGAGGAGGAGATCGTCGCGCGTCGACGCGACGCGCGCGCGTCGCGCGGCGATCGCGCGCGCGTCGGGAACCGATCGCGTCGCCGCGATCGGTCGCGCGCTTTCGTCGCGCCGCCCGTCGCGCGCGCGCGCTTTCGCGCCGCGATCGCGCGCGCGCGGACCCGCCCCGATGTGCTTCCGAGAACCCGTCGATCGACTCGCGTCGTCGAATCCGAATTTCGATCCGGTCCGAAACTCACCGCCGATCCGCCTCCCGTCCTCTTCCTCGTCCTCGTCCTCGTCACCGCAGGCCGTCGTCGCCCCCCGCGCGGCGCTCCGCCAGGGCGTCGTCGCGAAGGCTTCCCCCAAGAACGTCCTCGCGTCCGTCTCCGCGGCGTTTCCCGCGTTCGCGGCGGCGCCGGCTGCTTTCGCCGCCGAGGAGCTCAACCAAGTGGCGCTCGCCGACGTCAACATCCTCGGCGTGATCGCGACGGCGCTCTTCATCATCATCCCGACGTCGTTCCTCATCATCCTGTACGTCAAGTCCGCGTCCGAGGGGAACGTCTCCGGTGGTTTCTCGCAGAAGTACTACGACGATTCCAAGAAGCGCGGCGACAAGAAGACGAACGAAGCCGCGATTGTCAAGGGGAAGGGCTTGGGGATGCGCCCGGAGAAGTAAGCGCGACGAGAGTAACGTCTTTAATCGAACGGTTTTCTCTTGGGTGGGCCCCTTAGCGTTCAGAGACGGAGGAACGGGACAGAAGAAAGTCGTCGGGTCGGGCGGGGTGTCACGAGTGCGTCGCGTGATGAACGGAGCTATTTGAACGGCGCGCCACTAGCGGCGGGCGGTTCGGTTTTGTGATTTCATCGAGCTGAAGCGATCGAAACGAAGAAGCGGCGAAGCGAAGCGAACGAAACCGATCCGATCGAAACCGCGCCGCGCGGTGGAACACCGCGCGGCATCTCGACATACATAACAACGCGACCGCCACACCCCCGCCGCCCTCCCCCCGTCACCCTCCCCCCGACGCTTCTTTCTTTTCCAAATCGAAACGCGTCGCGTCGAATCGATCAGTACTCGCACCCGTCGAGCGCCTCTCTGAGCTTCTTCCGCCGGTCGTCGTCGAGCGTCTTCGGAAACGCCACCTCGAACTTGATCTTCAGATCCCCGCGCGAGTTCGGGGACTTGCTCAGCGGCATCCCCTCGCCGATCAGCACCTTGACGTACTTGGGGTCGATCACCTCCTTCACCTCCACGTTGATGGACTTGCCGTCCAACGTCGTCACGAACACGTTGGCGCCGAGCAGCGCCTCGCTGAGTGCGATTTCCCACGCGGAGCGGCGAGCGAACGTCGGGGTGGAGCGCGGGGGCGCGTCAGTCGGAGTCGCGAGGCGTCATAGGGTCGAGCGTCGTGACCGAGGGGCGGGCGGAGAGAAACGCGCGAGCGACGGGAATGAAAGTCCTCCTCGCGGGGAGACGCGCGCGCGACCGAGACGCGCCTGAGGTCCACCTTGACCGTCTTCACGAGGTCGTTCCCGTCGCGCTCAAACTGCGGATGCCTCTTCTCGTCGATCACGAACACGATGTCAGCGGCGATCACCCCCGGGGCCTCGTCGCCCTTCTCCGGGAACGTGATCTTCGTCCCCTTCTTCCACCCGGGCTTGACGTCGATCGTGAGCGTCTCCGAGACTCTCTGCTCCACGTCCCCGCGCATCACCGTGCGCGTGAGCTTCAGGTTTTTCGAGCACCCGTAGTACATTTCCTCTAGCGTCAAGCGAAGCGACTGCTCGATCGGGTCCGCCTTCTTGCGCTCTCTCGGACGCGCGCGGCCGCCGCCGTGCGCGTGGTGCCCGGGCATCCCGCCGGGCATCCCGCCGAATCCGCCGAACGGGTTCCCGCCGCCTGCGACGCGATTCGATTGGGCGAGGGAAGACACGTGTCAGTCGCGCGTGCACGTGATTGGTGGATAGAAATCCCACGCGTCAAAACGTGAGGCTCAGAACGCGCGAAAACAAAACACGCCGAAAGAAGGGGAGCGGTCGGTCTCACCGCCCATCCCGCCCGTCCCGCCGCCGCCGAAGAACTGCGCGAAGATGTCCTCCGCCGCGGACGCGCTGAACCCGCCGCCGCCGCCGCCGAACCCGTCCTTCAGCCCGTCCTCGCCGAACTGATCGTACAAGTCTTTCTTCTTCGGGTCGCTCAGGACCTCGTACGCCTCGGAGACAGCCTTAAACTTCTTCTCCGCCGCGTCCTTGTTGTCCTGGTTCTTGTCCGGGTGCCAGCGCATCGCGAGCTTTCGGTACGCTTTCTTGATCTCCGCCTCGCTCGCGTCGCGCTGCAGGCCGAGGACGGCGTAGAAGTCCTTCCCGCCGCCGCTCCCGCCGCGACGCATCTCGGGCGACGCGCGGTGGTCTTCCTCTTAAGGAGGGCGTCTTCTGTCGAATCGACGCGAATCCGCCCGCGGGGCGCTCTCTCCCCTCTCTTCTGTCGTCTCTCCTCCTCCGCCTCCGCTCGACGCGGGCGGCGGATCGAGCGAGCGAGCGATCGGCGACGCGAGCCGCGCGCTCGGGGGGTCGGTCGTCGGGATGCTCGGCGGCGCGCGGGGCGTGTTCTCTCGCGCGCGCGTGCGTGCGCGGTGCGGAGTGCGAGCGGCCGCGGGAGGGACGGGAGCCGGGGAGCGGCGCGGGGGGCCGCCGTCGAAATGTAGACGAGGTGCCCTTCAGTCGAAAATCGTATGACGCCCAGGGAGCCGCCTACTGTACTCCGTATTCGGCCAAATTATGGCGAATTAATGGCGAATTAAATTTGGCGAATTAATGGCGAAATTAATTAGGACGGTACGCGGTACTTTAGTACTAAATGCTCGATACAAATGCTCATAGGTTTCACGTACTACATCCAATATATGAGCAATTAGTTTGAGAGCGACTTATGATAGGGCACCTCGTCTACAGGTATTTCCATCGCGCGTCGCGTCGCGTGCGTCGTCATCATCGGTCGCGTCGTCATAAAGCGCACGGCGCCGTCCGCGGCCGCCGCCGCGCGGACCGTCCCCGTCCCTCGCCGTCGCCCTCGTCGTCGTCGCCGCCGCCGCCTCCGGGATCCGACCCGCGCGCGCCGTCCGCCCGCGCCATGCCGGCGTCGACGTGCTTCCGCGAGTGCTGCGTCTCCGACGGCGACGGCGCCGTCAACCTGCGCGAGCCCGCCGAGAACTTCACCCCCGGGATGCGCCTCGTCCACGACGGCCCCGCGAGCGCGGTGTTCGCGGGTCGGTTCGGCGACGTCGCGGTCGCGGTCAAGAAGCCGCGGCTGCACACGAAGACGGAGATCGATCGCTACCACGTCGAGCTGCGGCTGATGCTCTCGCTGAGGCACCCGAACGTGCTGACGGTGTGCGCCGCGCGCGCGCATCCGCCCGAGTACTTCCTCGTGTTCCCGTGGCAGGCGCACGGCAGCGTCGCGCACCTGACGCACGACGCGGGATGGCGTCCGACGACGCCGGCGCTCCTGAAACTCCTGCGCGAGACGGCGGCGGCGCTGGAGTACCTCCACGCGAGAGGGATCGTGCACCGCGACGTGAAGCCCGCGAACGTGCTGATGGGCGCGGACATGGTCGCGCGGCTCGCGGACTTTGGCCTCGCGGAGGAGGAGGTGAGACTGCTCCCCATACGACCCCGTTCGCGTGGTGCACGCCGTTCCTTAAGGACTTTTCCCGTCGTCACTCTTCACCCGCGCTTCCCTTTCAACGTTTGACCGGTGAGACGTTCGACTGACCGATCGCTTCACCCACGCAGGCGGCGCTGCGCGCGTCGCTGCAGGCGGCGATTTATTCCACCGAGGATCTCGAAGGGAAGACCGTGGACGGGCGGTACGTGACCGTCCCCGCCGGGAGCTCCGCGCCCAGCGGCGGGTTCCAGCGGCAGCACATGGTCGGCAGCCTGGCGTACATGGCCCCGGAGGTGCTGATGCGACGCGTGGCGACGTACGACGCGGACGCGTACGCGTTCGGCGTGTACGCGTGCGAAGGCGCGTTCTGTCATCTATCTCACACTGGTCCCCATACGACCCCGATCGCGTGGTGAACGCCGTTTCTTAAGGACTTCGCCCGGCGTCTCTCTCCGCGACGCCCGCCTTTCGACTTCGACCGACGCCTTTCGACTCCGCCCCGACGTTCGTCGCTTCGCGCGGACCGGCCCGAACGAAGTCGCCACCGGCGTCGCGCCGTACAGCGACCGCGAGCGGAACGTCGCGCTCGCGCACACGATCATGGACCTGTCGTACAACGAGGCCGACCTCGCGATCGCGATCGCGAGCGAGGGGTTGCGGCCGAGGCTCCCGGGGGAGGACGGCGGCGACGGCGGCGGCGACGACGACGTCGTTCGAGCCGTCTCGGAGCTCATCCGCGCGTGCTGGTCCCAGGCGCGTTCTATACACTGGTCGCCATACGACCCCGTCGGCGTGGTGAACGTCGATCCTTACGGACTTTCTATCCCGGCGTGTCTCTCCGCCCACCCGTCGCGTTCAATCCCCGCCCTCGGCGCCTTTCAACTCCAACTGACGCCTTTGAACTCCACCCCGACGTTCGCTTGTATGGAACGGCCCTCAGGAAGCCGCCGCGCGCCCGAAGTTTCCCGCCGTCGCGCGCACCCTGGACGACATCGCGGCGGCGTACAACGTCGCGCGCGGCGCGCCGGCGAGCGCGCCGTTGGAGCCGGTCTGGCGCGCGCGGTCGGCGGAGCGCGACGCCGCCGCCGACGCCGCCGACGAGGTGAGACTGCTCCCCGTACGACCCCGTTCGCGTGGTGCACGCCGTTCCTTGAGGACTTTTCCCGTCGTCACTCTTCACCCGCGCTTCCCTTTCAACGTTTGACCGGTAAGACGTTCGACTGACCGATCGCTTCACCCACGCAGGCGGCGCGCGATTTAGCGTCGCACGCGTGGCCGTCCCCGGCGGCGGTCCCGGGCTGGGGTCTCCCGGAGGGTCAGGGTCGCGACGATCAAACCACCGATCGTGACCCGCATCCTCGCGCGATCAACGCGGGCGTCTGGGCGACGCACGGCGCGCGCGGCGCGGACAAGATGGAAGACAGGCACGTCGTGATACGCGAGTTGGGTGCGTTCTAGCTAGGATTTTTCCCTCCGCCGCGTCGCGTCGTCTCTCTCCGCCCGCCCGCCCGCCCCTCGGTTTCTTTCCACGCTCGACGCCGCGCGACGCCTCGCGACTCCTCCAGGTGACGCGCCTCCGCGCTCCACCCTGACGTCCGCGTTCGTCGCCTCGCGCGGAACCCTCTCCGAACCCTCAGGGGGCATACGCGGCGCGCATCTCCTCGGCGTCTTCGACGGTCACCGCGGGCACGTTTTATCTCACACTGGTTCCCATACGACCCCGTTCGCGTGGTGAACGCTGATCCTTAAGGACTTTGCCCGGCGCGTCTCTCCGCCCATCCCCCGCTTTCAATCCCTGACCTCGACGCCTTTCAACTCCAACTGACGCCTTCAACTCCACCCCGACATCGCTTCGTATGGAACGACCCTCAGTCACGAGTGCGCGGAGTTCGCGCATCGGAACGTCGAGGCAGCGCTGCGCGGGTGCTGGGGTCGACACGCGGACCCGGCCGACGCGCTGATCGAGGCGTTCGAGAGGCTCGACGCCGCGTTCGTGGAGGCGTTCGAGCGCGTCGAGGACGGCGCGAGCGCGAGCGCGAGCGCGGGCGCGGAATCGGCGACCGCCGCGAGCGCGAGGTCAGACTGCTTCCCATACGACCCCGTTCGCGTGGTGAACGCCGTTCCTTAAGGACTTTTCCCGTCGTCACTCTTCACCCGCGCTTCCCTTTCAACGTTTGACCGGTGAGACGTTCGACTGACCCACGCGTTCAGGCGACGCCGTCCCGGATGCACCGCGTGCGTCGCGCTGCTGTGGGGCGACGACCTGTACGTCGCGAACGCGGGGGACTGTCGCGCGGTGCTGTGCCGCGACTACGACGCCGGGTCGCACGTCGCGCTATCGGTGGACCACGCCGCGGGGACGAACGCGTCGGAGCGCGAGAGGATCGCAGCGCTCGGCGGAACGTTGACGCGACGAATCGGCGGGTGGCGCGTCGGCGACGCCGGGCTCGCGGTGACCAGGCGCGTCCCATCTCACACTGGTTCCCACACGGCCCCGTTCGCGTTGTGAACTTCATTCCTTAAGGACTTTCGCCGGCGGGCGTTCGTCCCCGCCCACACCTCGGTTTCAATCCCGACGCGCCGCGCGCGACGCCTTTCGACTCCGTCTGACGCGCCCCCGAACGCCACCCCGACGTTCGCTTCCTATGGGCAAACACCCTCGACCCTCAGAGCGTTGGGGGACGCGGACGTCAAGCGCGACGGCGTGATCGCGACGCCGGAGGTGACGCGGACGCGCTTGGACGCGAACGACGCGTACGTCGTGCTCGCGTGCGACGGTCTGTGGGACGTGTGCTCGAACGAGGACGTGGTGTCGATGATTCGCGACACGGTGCGCGGGTCTTTTCCTCGCGCCGGTTCCATATACGACGACCGCGTTCGTATTCACACTGGTCCCCATACGACCGCGTTCGCGCGGTGAACGCCGTTTCTTAAGGATCTTCTCTCCCGGCGCATCTCTCCGCCAACGCCTCGATTATTTCAACGCTCGACCCTATGACGCCTTTCAACTCCCCACCGACGCCTTTCAACTCCACCCCGACGCGCGTCGCCTCGCAGGTGAAGGAGCCGTCGATGTGCGCCAAGCGGCTGGGCGCGGAGGCCCTGACGCGCGCGAGCGGAGATAACATCACCGTGGTCGTCGCGTTCGTGAAGGACGTGAGCACCGCGGAGTTGGTCACGTGGGAGAGGGCGTTTTAGGCTTGAGACGTGGGGTGGCGCGAGACGTGGGTTCATCGCGTGAGGGTATCGCGCGGCGGCGGCGGCGGTCATGTCGTCGGCGGCCGCGCGGGTGACGGTTTTTTTATCGCGCCGCCGATGGTCGTTCCATACGAAGCGACGAATGTCGGGGTGGAGTTGAAAGGCGTCAGAAACGGATTTGAAAGGCGTCGATGGCGGGGATTGAACGCGAGGGACCCTGGGCGGAGAGAGACGCCGGGCGAAGTCCTTAAGGATCGGCGTTTACCACGCCGACGGGGTCGTATGGGAACCAGTGTGAAGAAGAGGACGCATCAGATGGGGACCAGCGCGAGCGCGGTCGAGGAAGCGCGGGACGAACAGAAGTCGACGGACGGGTCGGGCGACGTGCTGCGCGCGCGCGTCGCTCCTCGGTTCCTCGCGTTAAAAAAAGAAAAAAGAACCCTCGCTCCCCGACCGACGATGCGAGCGTCGCGTCGCGTCGTTCGCTATGCTAACCGACCCGCGTCCGCGTCGCTCGAAGAATTTCTAATTCCGTCCGTCCGCCGCGCGCTCCGCCCGTCTCTCGCGGCGCTCGTCGCTCACTGCATCGTGATCTGGGACGCGCCTTCGCACGGCTGACCGGTGATCGTCTTGCACGCCTTGAGGCCGACCTGCTTGTTCGGCGCGACGCGGGAGTTCTCCGTGCCGATCTCCGCGGAGGAGTCCTTCTCGACGTTCACCACCGGGCGCGGGTCGTAGAAGGGCTGCTCGTATTTGCCCGGCGCCTGGTTGGTGCCGTTTTGGAGCGTGAGGCCGTCCGCGTGCGCGGCGGGGCTCGCGAGGAGGAAGAGCGCCGCGGCGGCGCCGGCAGCCTTGGAGGACATGGCGCTGTGGAGGGAGGAGAGGAGGGGGGGGGGGGTCAGCGCGAGGGTCGGGAAGTCCGGAGGCCGATCGGCTCGCGGGAAAAAGAAAAACCATTAAGATTTCCGAGCGGCGAGCGCGACGCCGAGCGATCCTCCGCGCCGCGACGCGCGCGAATCGCTCGCGCGTCGCGCGCGAATCGCGAGGACGCGGACGTCGGTATCGTCTTCGCGCGCGCGCGGCGCGTCGGACGCGTCGGACGCGCGCCGCGGAGACGTTCGCCGTCCGCGCGTCGAGAGACGCGGAAAATCGTCGCGGGCGATAAGAACGCGGAGAGACGATGCCGGTTTTTCCGATCGATCGATCGACGCCGCGAGAGACGGGCGCGGGCGCGCACGCAGACTTCTGCTCCTTCGCCGCGGCCTTGGAGGCCTTGACGGTGGCGGCGGCGCGGACGACGGGGGCGGCGGCGATGGCGAACATCTTAAGGGAGTGTTTTAAGGTGTTTACGGGAGCGTTGCGGGTGCGAGAATGAGAACAACGCCGGAGCGGCCCCGCGGTGGAGCGCGACGCGCGAGGACCAATAGAATGCGTCCAAGTGGGTTGGTGAGATCCGGTTCTGATGGGTGAATAACGGGTTCACGCGTATTTTGAAAGCGCTCGTTCACCGATCGCGAGCACGCTCGACCGGCTCGGGAACGGCGATTTCATCGGGCCGAAAAGAAATGTCATCAGGTATAAATGTCTGGACTCTGCCAGCAAGTGGGCACACCAAGACGCCGCTGCCGCTTCCCTCTCGTCACTCCGCGCGCGCGGAGCCGCGTCGCCAGGGCCGCCGCGGGGATGGCGCAGCGGCCGATCTCGAGCTTCTTCTTCAAGCCCGCGGCGAAGAAGCCGCCGCCGCCGCCCGCGGAGGAGGACGCGGTCGCGGGAGGAAGCGGCCGCGGCGACGCGGACGCGAGCGCGGACGCCGACGTCGACGCCGAAACGCGACGAAGCGACGACGGCGACGACGGCGACGCGACGAACCCGAGCCGCAAGCGCGCTCGAGACGACGACGCCGCCGACGCGCGCCGCGAGCTCATGCGACGCAAGCTGTGCGACGACACCGTCTCCGAGGCGAAGCGCGCGGAGGTCGCGGCGCGCTTCGCGTGGCTGTCCGATGCCGCGAACCTGACCGATCGCGCGGGACGTCGACGGACGGACCCGGCGCACGATCCGCGAACGTTCGCGCTCCCGGCAAACATGAAGCTCTCCGCGTCGCAGCGCCAGTACTGGGACCTCAAGTCCACGCACGCGGACGTGGTGTTGTTCTTCAAGGTGGGGAAGTTCTACGAGCTGTACGAAGACGACGCGGAGATCGGGTGCAGAGTGCTCGACTGGAAGGCGCGTTCTATCTCACACTGGTCCCCATACGACCGCGTTGGCGTGGTGAACGCCGATCCTTAAGGACTTTGCCCGGCGATTCTCTCCGCCCACCCCTCGCTTTCAATCCCCGCCCTCGACGCCTTTCAACTCCAACTGACGCCTTTCAACTCCACCCCGACGTTCGCTCGTAGATGACCGTGAGCGGCGTCGGGCACTGTCGGCAGGTCGGGTGCCCGGAGTCCGGCATCGACGCGGCGGTGCGAGGTGCGTCCGCGTTCGCTCGCTCGTTCCTCGAGGCGATGACGTCTTCGCTCGCGCGGCGGTAGTCTCTCTTTTCCGCGCGCCCCTCGGTTTCTTCGACGCGAGGCGCCCTAGGCGTTCGACCCATACACTGGTCCCCATACCGCCCCGTTCGCGTGGTGAACGCCGATCCTTAAGGACTTTCGCAGTCGTCTGACGCCTTTCGACGCCGCCGCCCAAATCTCGCGACAGCGCTGACCGACGCGGGGCATAACGTGGGGAGGATCGAGCAGCTGGAGTCCGCCGCGGATGCGAAAGCGAGGGACGGCGCCAAGGCGGTGATTCGCAGGGAGCTGACTTCGATATCGACGCCGACGACGCGATTCGAAGCCGCCGGCGGCGGCGGCGGCGCGTTCGAAGACGACGCGCGTTTGAACCAGTCTCGGGGGGACCCGGACGCGGAAGCCGTCCACCTCCTCGCGGTCGTCGAGTGCGCGAAAGTCGTCGTCGTCGACGACGACGACGACGGCTCTGAGAAGAAGATATGGATCGGGTACGCGTACTTGGACGCCGCCGCGGGGAGGGTAACCTTGGGCGCGATCGAGGTGCGTTCTATCTCACACTGGTCCCCATACGACCCCGCACGCGTTGTGCTCGCCGTTCCTTAAGGACTTTATTTCCCGGCGCATCTCACCGCCCACCCCTTCCGTCCATAGGACGACCCGTCGAGGACGGCGTTGTCCACGCTGCTGTCGCACGTCTCGCCGAGAGAGATTCTCGCGCTTCGCGCCGGCGCCGGCGGGACGGAAGTGACCGCCGAAAAGGGAGCGTTCCGCTCGATCGCGTTAGGCGACGCGGCGAAGACCGCGATCGCGCGATGCGCGTGGCGGCCGAAGGTCACGCGCTTGACGCCCGGGGAGGAGTGTCCCGCGACGTCGTCGGACGCCGAGGCGCGGTTCGACTTTAAGGCGCGTCCCGTACACTGGTCCCCATACGACCGCGTTGGCGTGGTGAACGCCGATCCTTAAGGACTTTGCCCGGCGCATCTCTCCGCTTACACCTCGCTTTCAATCCCGACACACATCGCCGCCTTTCAACTCCACCTGACGCCTTTCAACTCCACCCCGACGTTCGCTTGTATAGAACGGCTCTAATTTCAAAACCGGGGAAGAAGAATCTTCTTCGGACGACGCTTCCCCGTCTCCGCGGAAGCTTCAACTTCAACTTCAACTTCACCCCGCGTCGAAGATCGCCGCCGTCGCGCTGAGCTCGCACTTGCGACGCATGAAGATCGACGTCGCGACGTTCGCGAAGGTGGAAGTCGACGCGCGCCCCGACGTCTTCGCCGCGACGCGCCTGCGGCTCGACGGCGCGACGATCGAAAACTTAGGCGCGTTCCTGCCAGGCCCTTCACCCATCGCCCGGCTTCAACGTTTGATCGCTTCCCCTTTCAACTGACCGGTGAACTTTTTTTGTATGGAATGGCCCTCAGAACTTCTTCACGGCGCCGAGGGCACCAGACGCGGCAGCTTGCTCGAGCGCGTGGACGACTGCGCGACGCCCGCGGGGAAGAGACTCCTGCGGCGGTGGCTTCTCGCGCCGCTGACGGACCCTCGCGCGATCGCGGAGAGGCAAGACGCGGTGCAGGCGCTCGCAAACGACGCGCGTGCGCTCGACGATTGGAGACGCGCGGCGAGACGCGCGCCGGATTTAGGCGCGTTCCATCTCACACTGGTCCCCATACGACCGCGATCGCGTGGTGAACGCCGATCCTCGAGGACTTTTCCCGGCGTGTCTCGCCGCCAACCCCTCGTCTTCGCTCCCGACACGCCTCGACGCCTCACGACTCCACCCCGACGTCGCTTCGTATGGGATACGACCCTCAGAACGTGCCATCGGCCGCGCGCGCGCGTCGGCGGGGCAAACGCGCGCGCTGCCGCGGCACCTCGCGCGGCCGCGGCACGCGCGAAGGGTCGCGTCGCTCGCGCGCGCGACGGTCGCGGCGAGGGAGACGCTGACGTTGATGAGCGAGTTCGCGAGCGACAGCGCCGCCGGCCCGGGCGTCGCGTCGAGAGGGGGGGTGCTGTTAAGGACGCTCGCCGACGCCGCGTCGGGAAGAGCCCGGGGCGTCGCCGACGCGCTCGCCGCGCTCGACCGCGTCGAGGACGCGCTCGCGTGGCCGTCGAAGAGCGGCAAGGGCAAGGCGGCGGCCGTCGCGGTCGAGCTCAAGAGCGCGGCGCGCCAGGATGGCGGCGGCGGCGGCGGCGGCGGCGACGACGAAGACGAAGACGCCGCGCTCGCGGCGGCGGAGGCGGAGACCTCCGCGCTTCTCGACCTCTTCCTCTCGCATCAGCGCGTCTGGAGCGACCTCGCGCGCGCGGCGGCGACGGTGGACGTCCTCGCGTCGTTCGCGTCGTTCGCCGCGACGCACGACGGCCCGACGTGCCGCCCGACGTTCGTCGACGCGGAAGGCGGCGGCGCCACGCTCGAGCTCGAAAACGTGTGGCACCCGTGCGCGGTCGCCGGCGGGATGTTGCGAGGACGCGCCGGCGCCGGCGGGACGAGCGGGATCGTCCCGAACGACGTCGTCCTCGGGGACGTCGCGCGCGAGACCCCGCGCGCGATGCTGCTCACGGGCGCGAACATGGGCGGCAAGTCCACGCTGTTGAGGCGCGTGCGCGTTTTTCCGACCCGACGGACAGCCTCTTCTTTTTTTTCGCCTTTTCGTATTTAACCCAACCCATCCCATCCCAACCCGACCGACCGCAGGGCGACGTGCGTCGCCGTCGTCCTCGCGCACGCCGGCGCGTTGGCGCCCGCGTCGCGATGCGTCTTGTCCCCCGTCGACGTCGTCTTCACGCGGCTCGGCGGCGCGGGCGATCGCGTCGCGACGGGCGAGTCCACGTTCCTCGTGGAGTGCGCGGAGGCGGCGGTCATCCTGCGCGAGGCGACGCCGAGCTCGCTCGTCGTCGTGGACGAGCTCGGCCGAGGCACGAGCACGTTCGACGGCTACTCCGTGGCCTTCGCGGCTTTTAAAAAGCTCGCGCTCGGCGTCGGGTGCCGGACGATGTTCGCGACGCACTTCCACGGCCTCGCGCGGGAGTTTCGCGCGTCGCCGGACGTGCAGCTCGCGCACATGGCGGCGACCGTCGCGGTGGAGGACGACGACGAGCTGTTCGAGGACGCGGGCGACGACGACGAGGACGCGGGCGGCGGCGAAGACGACGCGCGAGGAGGGGGCGGCGGCTCCGCGATCGCGTCCGCGGCGGCGCCCGCGCCTCCGCCGATCACGTTCCTGTACAAGCTCCGCCCCGGCGCGTGCCCGAAGAGCTACGGCGTGCGCGTCGCCGCGCTCGCGGCGGTTCCGAAGGAGGTGTTGAAGCTCGCGCGCGTCGCCGCGGCGGACTCGGAGAGGCGCCTGTCGAGAGCGTTCGGCGGCGACGGAGCCGCGTTGACCGAGGGGGAAAAGTCAGGTGCGTTCCTTGCTATATTTTTTTCACCCATCTCTCGCTTTCAACATTTGATCGCGTCTCCTTTCAACTGACCGATATTTTTTGTATGGAATGGCCCTCAGCGCTGCGGCACATCCTCGGCGCGGCGACGGACGAGAAGAGCGACGCGGAGGAGAGGGCGCGGCGGCTGAGACGCGCGTGGACGGCGTTGCGGAGTTGAAAGGCGGAGTTGAAAGGCGTCAGAAGCGGAGTTGAAAGGCAGGCGTCGAGGCGCGGCGGGATTGAAAGCGAGGGACCCTGGGCGGAGAGATAAAAACGCCGGGAGAGAAAGTCCTTAAGGATCGGCGTTCACCACGCCGACGCGGTCGTATGGGAACCAGTGTACAGAACGCGCCTGGACGGCGTCGCGGCGATGAGCGATCGGACGGGACGGGACGGGACGGGACGGGACGGACGGCGATGAGCGCGTCGTCTTGAATGTCATTCAATCTCCGCTCGAGTTGGCGGGTCCTACTCCGAAGGGCCCTCCAAAGGGTATACATCAGTATTTTTCGTTCGTACAGACGCGGCGATCCTCCTCATCGCACGCTCTCTCCTCCTCCTCCTCTCGTCGTCTCCGCGCGCGCGCGCTCCTCACGCCTTGTCGAGAAGCGCCTGGTCGAAGTGCCACACCGCGTCGCCCTTGTTCCCCATCCTCCGCAACTGCGCGACCATCTCGCTGATCTCTTGGATCGACTTGACCTGATCCGCGAGCAGCTCGCCCTCGATGAAGTCCTGCATGTTCGCGTCGTCGCACTCCGCGGCGACGGCGTGCAAGCTCAGCAGTCGATCGTTGTTCAGCTTCTCGAGCGAGAGGCTCAGCTCGAACGCGTACAGCGCGTCGCCCTTCTCCGGGTGGTCGTACTCCACCTGCGGCGGCATCAGCGCCTGAGGGTCGTTCGATCGGCGGGCGACGCGGCATTTTGAAGTGACGTGATTGGTTAGTTATTTGATGACCCGTGTGGACGTTTCATTGGACGACAGAGAGCGACGGAGAGAAACGCACGCGCGCGGGAGAGAAAGTCCAGTCCGTCCTCGAGGAACGGCGCGCGCCGCGCCGACGGGGTCGCGCGGGGAAATAGAGCGCGGAAAGGAGTCCTTAAGGATCGGCGTTCACCACGCGGACGGGGTCGTATGGGGACCAGTCAGCGTGAGGAGACGCTAGGACCGGCGTAGTAAACGCGAAGGAGGAGAAAGAACGCGCCTGGAGCTCGACGCGCTCGCCGCGCATGATCTGGTAGTTCATGAGCAACTCCGCGTGCCCGCGCTCCTCGAGCGACTCCCGCAAGAAGTGCTTGGCGATGCCCGGGAGGTAGACGTTATCCCGCGCGAAGTACGCGTACATGGCGTGGTAGATGTACGAGACGTTGTATTCGATGTTGATCTGCTCGTTGACCGCGCGCTCGCACGCAGCCTTGTAGTGCGGCGTGCGCGCGAAGGATTCGCTGCGCGCGGCGGCGACAGGGTGCGTGGACGTCGCCTCGACGAGCGCCTGCGGCGGGCGCGGTGGGGAAGGGGCGGACGTGAGGGTGAGGGGCGGGCGCGGGGGGTCAGAAAATAAAAATCGGGGATCGCCTCGGCGCGGCTCGACGAATGAATCCCTAACAATAAATATCCCACGGGGGGATCTCGCGACGTTCGCGCGCGCGCGGGCGAAGCGCGCGATCGGACGCGCGGGACGACGCGTCGCGCGATGCGCGCGGGAGGCGAGGAAAAACGACGCGGCGCGCACCTCGAACGGCTTCGAGATCGCGGTCTCGTCGGACTTGACCGCCGCGCGCGTCGCGGTGGAATTCTTAGTAGACCGCCGCGCGTGGGCGGTGGTTTTTTCGCGCGCGAGCGCGGCGGCGCCGGGCGCGAAGAAGGACGCGGCGAGAGCGGCCATGTCGAGCGTGCGTGCGCGGTGGGTGCGTTCAAAAAGCGAACGACGAGGACGTGCGCGTCGCGAGGGCGGGTCGCGGTTCGAGCGCGCCTCGGGGAGTAGTGAGGACGCGGAGGAGCGACGTACTGTACGTCATCGTTGCGACTGGGAAAACAAAAAGGCAACGCGACGCCACGTCAGACTCGTGCGCGCACACTTTCTCTACGTACGTGTACGCGCATCAGTCATAAAATACAGTATGCGCGTACTAGTACAGCGCGCTTGATCCGTCGCGTCGTTCACGCGTTGTCCCTCAACCACTCCCGGAGCGCGACGTCCAGCCCCGGAACGTCCTTCGCGCGCTCGCCGCCGCCGCCGCCGCCGCCGCCGCTCGGCCGCCGCGCGCGAGGCCGCCACCGCCGCGCGCGCCGTCCGAGCGCGGCCGGCCCCGGGGGGATCCCGGAGTCCGCCGCCGCCGCCGTCCGTCTCGAGCCGCCGCCGTCGTCGCCGTCGTCGTCGTCGTCCCCGCGCGTCCCCGCGGACTGCCCACCGCGATCGAGCCACGTCAGCAACCGCTCGTTCGTGACGACCAATCGCCCGGCGTTTCCCTCGACGACCGCCACGTCGAGCGCCAGATCCCTCGCGAGACCCTCCACGGCGTCGCGTAGCATTGGCTCGCCCTCGCTCCTTCGCCCCAACCTGAGGGTCGAGGGTCCATACGAGCGAACGTCGGAGTGGTGGAGTTGAAAGGCGTCAGAAGCGGAGTTGAAAGGCGTCGAGGTGTGTCGGGATTAAAAGCGAGGGGTGATGGGCGGAGAGATGCGCCGGGAAAAGTCCTTAAGAATCGGCGTTCACCACGCCGACGCGGTCGTATGGGGACCAGTGTGAGATAGAACGCGCCCGGTCACGATGACGAGGTCGCCAAACACCGGAAGCATCGCGCGTCGGCGTTCGCGCAGCGCCTGCAGCACGGACAAGACCGCCGCGCGGGTTTCCACCGTGGAGAGGCCGTGGACGTCGACGATCGGGCCCGCGGGCGCGGCGACGGGACCCGCGGCGTGCGGCTTCCGGTCGACGACGTCCGAGGGGGGGTCCGGCGGCGCCTCTCGCGGCGACGTCATCCGCGCGACCAGGCCGCCGTAGACGCGTCTGCGGGGGCCGTCGTCGTCGCCGTCGCCGTCGCCGTCGCCGTCGCCGTCGCTGTCGCCGCCAGAACCGTCGCCGACGACGTCGGCGAGGAGGAAGTTTGGCGTCCGGGGCGCTCCCGCTTCTTCTCGCTTCTTCGTCGTCGTCGTCGTCGTCGTCGTCGTCGTCGTCGTCCCCTTCCTCGCGTCGGACGCCGCCGCCGCTGCCGCAGCCGCTCTGTTCGCGTCGACGTCGAACGCCTGGTCCACCCACATCTCCGTGAGCTGCCGAAACCCCGCGTTGTTCGGACGCACGTTCAGCGACCGCATGTCCCGATACACCTCCGTCGCCACGCTCGCGTCGCCGCCGCCGCGTCGCCCCGCCGTCAACGCCGCGGCTAACGTCGCCTCGTCGGGCGTTATCCCCTCCGCGCGCATCCGCCAGTACGCGTCCGCGGTCGCGTCGAGGTCGCCCACGGACGCGTGCGCGTTCATGAGCGCGGTCCACGTGCGTTTATCCGCTTTAACGCCGCGAGCGCGCGCGCGGTCGAACGCCTCTTGGGCGCGCGCGGGGTCGCCGGCGCGCGCGCACGCGGTGATGACCGCCGTCCACGTGCGTCGCGAGGGGGTCAGGCGGACGCTGGGGTCGCGCATCGATCGCGCGAGGCGGAAGCACGCGTCCACGGGGGTCTCGTCGGTGTCCGCGTCGAGCTCGGCGGTTAAGGCGGCGGTCTCGGCGGTCTCCGTCTCCTCTCCCGCGAACACGGACATCCCGCCTCCGCCGCCGTCTCGTCCCTCGAGCGTCTCCCGGTCGTAGCGCCACCCCAGGCTGTCGTCGTTCGCGCGTCCACCGGTCGGCGGCCGCGCGATCGCGGCGTACCCCCCGATCAGCGCGTTGAACGTCGCCTCGTCCGGTCGAACGCCCGCGCGTCGCATCGACGACAACACGAGCCGCTCAGCGCGTCTCGGCTGGCCGACGCGCGCCAACGCGGTCGCGACGAGGTTGAACGCGATGAGCTCCACGCCGTCGCGCCGCTTGTTCCCGTCGCTCGGCGGCTTGCGATGCCGGGGGGGCCCGCGCGATCGCGTCTGCGTCTGCGTCTTCTTCGAGCTCGACGGCGACGGCGACGGCGACGGCGAGTGATGCGAGGTCGCCGCGGCGACGGCGTCTTCGAGCAGCGCCGCCGCCGCGTCCGCCTCCCCCGCGTCGCAGTGCGCCTTGATCAGCGCCGTCCACGCGCGCTTCGTCGGCTCGAACGCGACGCGATGCCCCGGCGTCGTCGCCGTCGCCGCGGGAGAGAGCCGCTCGTTCCACAGCGCGACCGCGCCCGCGGCGTCGCCCGCGCGTTCGAACGCCTCGAGCGCGCACTCGAGATCTTCCGGCCGCGGGGCGGCGCGCGAAAACGTCAACCGGTCGACGGCGTCGATCGCGAGCTCGGGGAAGCCGCCCGCGGCGGCGACGTGCAGCGTCGCGCGGACCGCGGTCGCGGCGATCTCGACGTCCATCGGCGTCGGCGGCGGCGTGACCGAGGGTTTGAAGACGTTTTTCATCCTGCCGACGCCGTACGCCGACCGAGTCGCGGAGGACGACGCGCACGAAGGCGACTTCTCCCCGCGCTCGCGTCGCGCGCTCTCCGCCTTCGCCTCCGCCGCGCGCGCGGCGTCCGCGACCGCCGCCTCCGCGGCCCTGAGCGGCGGCATGCTCCCGCCGTCCTCCGCGCCCGCGCCGCGCAGGGCTTTAAACAGCGCGCGGTAGTGCGTCGGATTCCCCGGCGCGTAGACGCCGTGCGTCCCCGCGAGCGCGTGCACCGACAGCGCGTCCGCGTGCATCCCGCGCGCGCACAGCGCGTGCATGAGCTGCGCGTACGCGGGCGCGACGGCTTTCCTCTCCGCGGCGGCTTTGCGCGCGGCCGCGGCGTCTTCTTGCCATCTCACGGCGGCCGCGGCGGAGGTCTCGCCGTCGTCCTGTTGAAAGGCGTCAGAAGCGGAGTTGAAAGGCGTCGAGGTGTGTCGGGATTGAAAGCGAGGGACCCTGGGCGGAGAGACGCGCCGGGAAAAGTCCTCAAGGAATGGCGTTCACCACGCCGACGCGGTCGTACGGGGGGAACCAGCGTGAGGAGAACGCGCCTTCTTCTCCGACGTCGGCGTCGGACACGACGGCCACGCCTTCATCCACGGCTCGCTCGTCATCTCGCGCAGCATCCGCGACGCGGTCTCGAGCATGTTCCCCCTGCACATAGGCGTCAGTTGGAGTTGAAAGGCGTTGAGGGCGGGTATTGAAAGCGAGTGCTGGGCGGAGAGAGAAGATGGGCAAAGTCCTTAAGGATCGGCGTTCACCACGCGAACGCGGTCGTATGGGAACCAGTGTATAGAACCTGCACATCGCGCCGATCGCGCACGACCACGCGGCGCCGCCGAGCGGCTCGCCGCCTTCTCTCGCGGCGAGAAAGATCCTCTCGACGAGCGCCGCGGACGCGGCGTCGCCGCGGCGCCCAATCACCGACGTCAACGCCGCGACCATATACGAGTCCGGGGTCACGCCGTCGCTCGCGAGGTCGATCGCGACTCTTCGCGCGAAGTGCGGGTCCTTGGTCCCGGTCGCGGCTTTGCACGCGGCGGTGAAGACGGCTTTCGGGAACCTGTGGGGTGAAGCGATCGGTCAGTCGAACGTCTTACCGGTCAAACGTTGAAAGGGAAGCGCGGGTGAAGAGTGACGACGGGAAAAGTCCTCAAGGAACGGCGTGCACCACGCGAACGCGGTCGTATGGGGAGCAGTCTCGCGCACCGTGCCATACGAATCGGCCGTGTCGAACACGTCGACGCCCGCGTCGTCGTTCGCCTCGCCGATCCGCCGCCCTCGTCGTCGCCCTCGCCCTCGCCGTCGCCCTCGCCGTTTCTGAACTTGTCGTACGCCTCCGCCGCGGCGCGAGGCCGCTTCCGCGATTTGGACGCGATCTCCAGCGCGAAAACCTCCGCGCGTCGTCGCCGCGGCGAATGCGAACGCCCGTTCTCCGAGCCGCCGCCGCCGCCGCCGCCGCCGCCTCCCGCCCGTCGAATCGCGTCCACGTCCACGTCCCCTCTCCGCGCCATCTCGTGCAGCTCCTCCCACATCGCGTCCGCGTCGTCGCCTCGCCCGCGCGTCGCGTCGTTCGTCCACGCCATCGCGACGAGCGTCGCGCCGCCGGCGTTTTCTCGCCGCGCGCGCCAGGATGCATTCTCCGGCGCAGCCACCTCGCGATAGATCCCTCGCGCGCTCGCGTGCGCGCCGTTCCTCCCGACGAGCCGTATCAGCTCCGCGGCGTCCGCGCCGTCGAGGAGGCGCAGCGCGGCGAGCATCTCCGGCAGCGACCACCGCCTGGACGCGTGTCCCCACAGGCGCACGACCCAGACGCAACGCTCGGGCGGGAGGCCCGACGCGTCCGACGCGCTCGCAATCGCCCGCAGCACGTCGTTCGGCGGCGCGTCGGCCTGCGCGAGGACCGCGTCCGTGCGTCGCAGCGCCTCGGCGCGGGGTATGCGCGCGTCGTCGTCGTCGTCGTCGTCGTCGGACGGCGACGACGACGACGTCGCGGACGCGGGCGCGGACGCGGACGCGGATTCTCGCGGAGGACCACGTCCGGCGCCGACTCTCGCGGACGTCCGCGAGGCTTTATCCGCCGCGCGTCGGAGCGCTCTCGCGGCGGCGCGCGGCGGCGGTCGCGTCCACGGCGCGCGCGCGCGCGTCATGCGCTCGCACGGCGCTCGCGCCGCCGCGCGAGACGCGACGACGGTCGCCCGCATCGTCTCTGCCGCCGCCGTCTCTGCCGCCGCGTCGGAGTCGTCGAGGATTCTCTTTCTCGAGTAAAGCGAGCACGCAGTTTTAGCAGTCGTACAACAACTATGATATGATAAAACGATTCCTACAAAAAAAAGCATCGGTCAGTTGAAAGGGGATGCAATCAAACGTTGAAACCAAAACGTTGTACGGGGTGGGTGAAAAACTTTACTGTTAAGGTTAAGATAGTCGATGCTGGCCGGCGCCTTTTTCTAGTTCCTTTTTCTCCGGCAGCTACTGTAGGGTTCAGAGGCAAGTTACGACACTTTGCGCACCGACCGCTTTCCGTTCGCGGACCCGACCGCGGAGTCGGGCTCGTCGCTCGGCCACACGCCCTCGCACGCGGGCGATCGCGCGTCGCGCAGACCTCGGGCGCGAAGCTCGTCTCCGCGTACGACGAGGCGCGCGCGCGCTCGACCGAATCCGCGCCTCGCCGGACGATATTTTCGTCTGCGATCGTCAGGAAAAGGAGCGATTCATTCATCGCAAAGAAAAGCGCCGCGCCGCGCTAGGTGACACTGGCTCCCATACGACCGCGTCGGCGTTGTGAACGTCGATCCTTAAGGACATGCCGCGCAAATCCGCGGCCGCCGCGCCGCCGCCGCCGCGCGCGGACGACGTCGCGAACGACCCCGACCTCGCGGACTTCCTCAAGCAGCTCGTGAACGTGGACGACGCGGGGGGGGATCGCTTTCTTCATCCGCGCGGCGCCGCGAACCCCGACGCGGTGTGGAGCGACCTGGACAACCTCGACGTCGCGGACAACATCGACGTGTCCCTGGGCGCCAGCGGCGGCGCGCTGGGCGCGGTGGCCGCGGCCGGCCACGTCCGCGCCCGCGCCGTCGACTCCCCCTCCCTCGCCAGCGTCGCGAGCGCGGACGTGAGAAGAGGCGGCGAGCGCGTCGCCGTCGCGCGCGCGGCGCGCGACGCGAGCGACGACAAAATCGGGAACGACGCCAGGGACTCCGACTCCCCGGCGAGCGTCGGCGGCGACCTCGCGACCGGCAGCGGCGGCAGCGGCGGGACCGGGTCGAGCGCGACGAGCGCGGTTAAGACGTTGGAGCACCTCGGCGAGACGCTCCGCGTGCTGAGCGACCAGCTCCGCGCGGCGCAGGCGCGTTCCATCTCACGCCGGTTCCCGTACGACCGCGTCGGCGTGGTGAATGCCGATCCTTAAGGACTTTACTTCCCGGCGCATCTCTCCGCCCACCCCACGGTTTCAATCCCGACACGCCTCCCTCGACGCCTTTCAACTCCGCTTCTGACGCCTTTGAACTCCACCCCGACATTCGTCGCTTTGTATGATGGAACGACCCCGCAGCGGCCGCACGAGTCGCCGCCCGACGCGAGCGGCGCGGATCGCACCGCGGAGGCGACGCAGCGGAGACTCGCGTCGACGCTGAACGACATCTCGGAACGCCTGGACGTCGGGTCGCTCGTACAGTTGTTCGTGCCGAAGCTGCAGTCGAGGCCCGGCGGCGCGCTCGTGATGTTGCAGACGTTTAAGGCGTTCACGCGCGTCAAGACGGTGCATCAAGAAAAGTTTTGGAAGTACCACAGGTTGTCCGAGGGATTCTTCTTCAACCTCTCCCCGGGCGGGGACTCGAACTTGTTGGGGCTCCCCGGGCGGTGTTTCCTCCACTCCAGAGCGGAGTGGACGCCGTCGGTGTGCTGCTACCAGCCCACGGAGTACCCACGGTTGGGATGCGCGATCGAGTGCCAGATGCACTCCACGATCGCGCTTCCGGTGTACTTCGACGACCCTCGCGTCCGCCCCGCGTTGCCGTTCGCCGTCATGGAGCTCCTCCTGGATCAGCAAGTCACGGACATGGGACGCGTGTTTAGCATCTGCGTCGGCGCGCTGCGCGAGAACGGTCTGTACACCGCGGGGACGGATCGCTTGGGGACGGAGGACACGATGCGCGCGGCGCTGGGCTCGAAGCTCTCGCGCGTCGGCGAGGGCAACGACGTCGCGCTCGAGAACATGTGCCACGCGCTCGGGTTCCCGCTCGCGCAGTGCTGGATCCCGAACGACGACGGTCTGCTGATCGCCGCGGGGGCGCCGTACTGCGTCAAGGACGCGATGGCGTTTCCGTTTCGTCAGATCTCGTCGCAGATCTCGTTGCTCAGCGGTCAGGGACCGGTGGGACAGGCGCACGAGCAGGGGACGATGATCTGGATCGACGACGTCCAAAACGGGAGCCAGCTGGACTGGCCTCTGCAGCACGCGACCGCGCTGCTCGGTCTTCACGGCGCGTGCACGTGCAAGATTTTGTTGCACCAAAAGCCGAACCGCGGCGGTTGCGGCGGGGAGCCGATCGAGGCGGTGTTGGAGGTGATTCTTCCGAGCAACTTGCTCATCGCGGAACAGCAGCGGCGCTGCGTCGAGGCGCTGTGGAACTACCTGCAGAACGCGCGGGAGTTGCAGATCGTGACCGTCGGCGCGGCCGCGGCGACGCGGGCGGCGGGCCAGGCGGCGCGGGGAGGAGGAGGGGTGAACGCGAACGCGAACGCGGCTCCGGGAGGCCAACCGGGCGCGGGCGCGGGCGCGGGCGCGGGCGGCGGCGGAGGGCCAAATTCGAAGTCGAGCGACCTGACCGCGGTCCACGCGGCCGTCGGGGGCGACGGCGGCGGCGGTCGCGCGCACGGCGGGAACTCGCTCGCGGGGATCCCGCTCCCCGGCGACGCGAGCGTGGACGAGACCGTGATGAACTGGGGCGTCACGCTAGAGATGTTGCAGCAGCACTTCAGCAAGCACCTGAAGCAAGCCGCGAAAGACTTGGGCGTCGGGTCTACGACGTTAAAACGCATCTGTCGACGGTACGGCATCACGCGGTGGCCGCGGCGGTCGCTGAAGTCGAAGCAAGGGAAGCTGCAGCAGGCGCTGAAGTCGCTGTACACCGCGGATGGCGCCGCGGCGCCCGGCGAACGCAGCCAGGGCGGCGGCGACTCCTCCGCGCACGGCGGCGGCGGCGCGTCCGCGATGTCGCTGGGAACGCGCGATTCGTTCATGACGGACCCGGCGAGCGGCGGAGACGGCGCTAACGACGCGTCCGTGCACGGCCCGAACGGCGGCGTGGGTTGGGGCCTCGGCGGGTCGCTCCCCCCGGGGGGTTTGTCGCCGTTGACGCGTCACGATTCCATCACGTCGTCTCCGCTGAGCGGACGAGCGCCGTGGCCGCCCGTCGGTGGTATCGCCGGCGGATCCACCCTGAGCGGCTTGAAGCGCGCGCTCGCGGCGGATCAGAACCCGTGGGGCGGCGGCGACGGCGGGATGCCGCGCCCCGGAAACGCCGGCGGCTGGCCCGGCGGCGACGGCGGCGGCATCGGAAAGTTCCAGAGAGGGTTCTCGTGGCACGGCGGCGACGTCGCGCGGCGCGCGCTGCATAACCAAGCTGCTGAAACTGAAACGCGCGAGGAGAGGACGTTACACGGTGAGTATGCGTTCGCGCAATTCGGCGGCGGCAACGCAAACGGGCGCGCGTGGTACCCGGACCAGGGCGCGTCCGCGCGCCCTTCGCCCGCGTTGCCCATCCCCGGGGCGTCTCACGCCGCCCAGCCGACGAACGAGGATTTCATGTGGAACTCGTTCGACAGCGGCACGACGCTCGCGTCGACGCAGGGCGGTTCCGTGCACGGCGGCAGCTTGCACGGCGGCAGCGTGCACGGGGGCAGCTTGCACGGAAACATGGGCGCGGTGGCGGCGCTCAACGCGGCCAACGCGACGCACTTCGCCGCCGCGTCGCCGCCGCCGCCGTCAGACATCGACCCGGGCAACTTCTTGATGCAGAGCGGGCCCGGGTCCCCCGCGGGGAGGCCCGGCGGGGCGCTCAAAGACGCCGCGGACGCGGACGCGGACGCGCGAACGGGCACGGGAACGGCGACGGGTCCATCCGGCGGGACGAAGACGAGCGGCGACGGCAGCGGTTCATCGTTCGACGCGGACAGCTCGGGGAAGACCTCCTCCGGGTTGTTGTCGTCGGGACGCGGGCGCGGCGGCGGCGCCGCGGGCGCGGCGGGCCCCGGGCCGGGCGTCGTCTTCAAGGCGTCGCGCGACGACGGCGACGGAGGAGGTCTTCTTCGCGTGCGGCTCCTGGGAGACGTCACGCACGCGGCGCTCGTCGATCGCCTCGCGCTGTGCCTCCGTCCTCTCGAAAGCGAAAGAGGTTTTTTTAAGATCAAGTACCAAGACGACGAGGACGAGTGGTGCTTGCTCTCGAAAGACTCGGACCTGGAGGAGGCGATCGCGTTCGCGAAGCAGCGCCGCGAGAACGCCGCCGCCGCCGGCGTCGCGACCGCCGACCTCGCCACCGCGCTCGGCCACGTGCGACTCAAGATCGAGAGCGGCGCGGTCGGTTCGCCCGCGCTCGCGAGTCCGACCGCCTCCGCGTGGGGGGCGCGAGACGTGGGCCCCCCGGGGACGCCGTCCGCGGCGCGCGCGTGCGGTGCGAGCGACGCGACGTTCACCGCGAAGATCTCCCTCGGCGACGGCGACACGATGCGCGTCAAGCTTTTGCCTTCGATGTCCTTCCGCGACCTCGCCGCGCGCGTGATGGAGGCGTCGGGAGACGCAGCGAGGCGCGTTCTTCACTTTTTCACACTGGTCCCCATACGACCGCGATCGCGTGGTGAACGCCGTTCCTTAAGGACTTTTCCCGTCGTCACTCTTCACCCGCGCTTCCCTTTCAACGTTTGACCGGTAAGACGTTCGACTGACCGATCGCTTCACCCACGCAGGACGCCCATGACGTTGACGTACACGGACGACGCGGACGAGTCGTGCGACTTGAGCGGCGACGCGGACCTGGACGAGTGCCGCGCCGCGTGCGCGAGTAGCGGGACGATACGCGTCCGGGCGACGTTCGGAGGCGGCTGACGACGTGCGGCGGTGAGGTTAATCTTCCGCGACGACGCGCGCGCGCTGTGCGTGTACAACAGATGATTCTGAGTTTATTTTTCGCAATTCGATTCGTTCGATCGCCGCTCGCGTCGCCCACCCTCACGCCGCGCGCGCGCGTCGCCGCTAGTTTAACTCCTCCGCGCGTTCGCTTCGCACGCGCGCATCACTTTGGCGCGGCCGCCGCCGCCGCCGCCGCCGCGTTCTGCGACGGCTGCGCGTCCGCGATCGCGGCGAGGTACATCAAGTTTTGCTGCAACCGCGTCTGGTACGTCGCGCAGTCGCTCAGCTTGCCGACGTTCTGGTTCTCCAAGATGGCGAGGATGAGGCTCTGGTTCTCGTCGAGGTACTTTTGTATGAGCTCCGTGGTGATCACCCTCTCCGCGGGCGGTGCTTCGGTCTTCGGCGCCTGCGGGGAACGGCGGCGTCGGTCAGCGGGAGGGGAGGGCGGGCGCGAGAGAGGACGAGACGACGGGATCTCGTCGCGCGCGGGGCGCGGCGTGGACGACGACGACGACGACGACGAACGCGATCGCACCTCTGCCGGGGCGGACATGACGCCGGGAGAGATGTTCGCGCGCGGCGAGGGTCCGCGAGCGACGAGGACGCGGCCGCCGACGAGAGCGCGCGCGCGCGAGGTGTGACGGAGCCCGGGTTTGAACGCGCGCGGAATTCGGCGCCGCGACTTCTTTTTCTGATGACGGCGACCTGACAGGTAGTCCCGTTCAGGGACGGAATTCCGTCCCTTTCCGGGCGAAAAACTGAGAATTTTCCCTATGGGCAATCAGTCGGAGTATGAGTAGTTTTCCGCTCCGTACTCATTTTTTGGTGATTTTCCGCCGATTTTCCGTCGAAAAACGGCGGAAATTCGGCACTGTGAC